TTTAAGTCAATCAAAAAACAAAACCAAAAACAAATTACTTATTAAATACCTACTAGATTTAAGGCACTGTGCCAGTGACTAGGAAAATAGAGATGAAAAACAACGTAATTCCTCTCTTCAAAGAGTTTAGAGACTACTAGAATGGATATGATATATACACAAATAAGTACAACATAAGGTGAGCTGAGATTTGGGGAAAGAAGAAACGTAGACAAAGTGCTGGAGGAAAACTGTTAGATCACTTTCAGGTAGAAGAATACATAAGAAGACTTTCTAGAAAAAATGGTACCTAACCTGGGTCTTCCAGTAGGAATAGTTTTGGCAACTGTATAATGGATGGATTGGCAAAGAGAGAAATTGGAAAAAGACAGAGTAATCAGAATGCCATTACAACAGTCTAGATTAGAAGTGTCGAGGACTTAAACTAAGGTGGCGACAGTGTGAAAGGGGGTGAAGGGATGTATGGCAAAGATACTGTAGAAGTAGAATTAACAGGACTAGACTATTGACTAGATTGCATCAGTTCTAATGTCTATACTGAGATGGACTTAGCTCTGTGTTTTGATTGAGTTAGAGCCAGAACTGTGGAGCCAAGAAAGTCCTCAAACCACATGACATCTCTGCTTAAAATCCTCAAGCAGAAGGGAAGGGCAGCTTAGACTCATAATTCATAGAATTCATAATCATAACATATCTGACCTAGAATGAGAGTTAAAGACCATCTACTCAACTCTCTCATTCCACAGAAGAAGAAACTAAGACCTGGTGAGGCCAAGTAACCATTACAGAATCATGTAGCCACTTACTGGCACATAGAGGACTAAAGCTTAGTATTATTCTTCTGCTATACAGTTCTGCCTCCCCAGAATAAGAATAAATGCTATGGTGCTTGAAGTGTTACCATCAAAAAGGACAAGAAAACTGACTCCAATGACTCATGGTCTCTCACTGAACTCTACTGTTGACAAGATCCTGGCTTGAGTTCTGCATGAGCTACCCTGCAGCAACAGTAAATCAAGCATTCCCCAAACCATAGCATTACTTTCAACCACACTATGACACTAAGTAAAGTGCCTGTGGGCTGGATATGGGAATGAAGAGAATAAGTGTGCCCACTTACTGATCACAGATGTTGTGCATACTCAGAAAGAGACGGGAAAAGGAAAGAGTTCATACATTCCTAGAGTCCAAGAGAAGGTCTAAGGGACCCGACCCATTTAATGGTTCCAACTATATTATGATTTCATTTATCCTACCTTGTTTAGACCAATCTTTAGTTTAACATGGTTACTTAGGTAAAACTGCGGAATCCTTTGCAAATTTTCATCTCTGGGTAGTTTAAATACATAAAGTACTAAAGATAATGTTACACATGGAAGAGGTCTTTGAGATAATCTAACCCAACCCTCTTACTTTGTAGATAAGGCAACTAAGGCTGATAAGGGACTTGCACAAGGCTATATAACCAACTACTGAAAGTGTTTGGACTGTACAGATCAAGTCTCCCAAAGTTTTATTGCACAAGAAAGCCTAGATAGTTCAGAGTATTTCATACTAGGACCCACCCTCCTGAAAGTCAGAGGGTTGTCTGAAATAGGCAATACACCGCCCCCCACACGCACTCTATCAGAACTCTTTCCATCCTTATTCTTTATTAATTTAGTGCAATCTCAGTACTTAGTTTTTTTTTAATTTCCTGGTTAATTTCTTGGGATCCTAAGGTTTTTAAGGGTCACCTAGTCCTAAAAGTTCAAAGGACTTATAAGGTGCTATGCCTAAGGACAGCCAGCTTCCAAGAAATGACTCCAAAAGTTACTGTAGTCAGAGTAACCAGAAGGATATATCCTACCAACCAAGTTCAACAATTAATAATTGTATGAAGTTATCAGAACCACCTAAGAATCTACAAATTATACTTCTAAATAGTGAAAAAGATATGGTATAATGTTTCTCCTAGCCTTGGCTTTGTGGCTCTGCTCCAACTGAATAGTTAAAGCCTGTCATTGTAACTCATTCTAAACGAGGATGGCATGGTGGTACTCATGCACAAAATAAATTGATGTGTCATATTAGCCTTGGCTTATTTGGAACTTCTGGAAATGAGGGGAGAAATGAGAGCTTTTTTTTTTTCATTTCATTTCATTTTATTTTTATTAATTTACTTTTAGTTTTCAACGATCACTTCCATACACTTTTGAGTTTAAAATTTTTCTCCCCCTCTCCCTCAAGACGGTGTGCAATCTGATATAGGCTCTGCATATACATTCCTATTCAACATATTAATCATGTTGTAAGGAAGAATTAGAACCAATAGGAGGAATCACAAGAAAGAGGAAACAAAACAAAACAGAAGAAAAAAAAAGAGCGTATAGTATGCTTTGATCTGCATTCAAACTCCATAGTTCTTTCTTTGGATGTGGATAGCATTTTCCATCATGAGGCTTCTGGAGTTGTCTTAAATCCTTGCATTGCTGAGAAGGGCTATGTCTATCAAATTTAGTCATCGTACAATGAGAACTTTTTTTTTTAAACAAAAATATATTAAAAGTGAACAGGGCACCCAAGTAAAAACAAACAGAAATATATGATTCTTTGTCTTATCTTGATCTCAAATTGCAGTATGAAATTTAAAGTCATTATGCTACACCCTATAGTTGACTCAGTTTCAGGAGTGACCTAAACAACTGGACCCATCAATCAGATGCAAAGTAAGAAGGTGATGAGCTGAGGCTGACCAAAAAGAGGCAATTATTTTAAAATAGTATCTCCCTCTAACTCTGTAATGAATGACATATAACTATCAGGGAGCATAACGAATTATTTTTTGTTTACCTCAGAAGGCTGTTGCATGGATCAATATGGAGATAAATACATAAAATACTTTAAAAATACAGATTGCTGTGGAAAAAACACAAAGCACTTCCCTAAGTACTACTAGCTCATTTGATCTTGACAACAAACTCAAGGAAGACTGTCGGGATTATTCCCATTTTGTGAATGCAGCTAAGAGCTTTAGGTGAAAAGGCAGGGATAGCGGTTTAAGGTTTACAAAGGGTTTTCCTTACAACTACTCGAGGGCTATAGTTTAAACATGATTACTCCCATTTTACAGATGAAGACACTGAGTTTCCAAGAGGTGAAATGCCTTGCCATGGTCACCCAGCTAGGAAATGATGGAGTGGGGATGTGAACCTTGGTTTCTAGCTCCTCGTTCAAGTGCTCTTTTCACTAACTGAATGCACACAGATCTGGTCTGTAAGGAGTGTTTTCCCCCCTCTATCATTCTGCCTCTCAGGAGTGGCAGGACCTGGAGAGGCAGAGATTTGGGGAAAGGACAGGAAGGTAAATCCTCCCCACCCAAATTTCAGAGCCCCGCAGATCCTGAAATCAGATGGCAGAAGACATTCCCTACTTTGTCTCTCTATAAGGCCAGCCTTGTTGCTCCTCCCCAGGAAAGGTGCTCAGTCACTCCTTAAGAGGCCAACGGCTTAGAGCCAGATCTCACTATTTCTCCGTCTATTAGCCTTTTTGAGACCGTCTAGTAAACATAAGCTATCACGAGTGACAGACCCACCAAGGAACCTACCCACTCCAAAGATCTCATTTCACTGCCCACGTGGCTTTTAAATAACACAAAACCAAATCTGAGGCTGTCAGGCTGAAGCAGCTTTTAACTTGTAGACGGTCATTTTTTTCCTTCCCTAGTATCAGATGTCTTTAGTTTACTGAAGATTCCTTAACAATTAAGGCACTTCAAAAACGTTAAGAGTAATTCTTTATAGAGGGAATCTACAGGAAAAGGCAGGCCGAAGATGTGGGGGGTAGAGAAGAAGGAGGGATAGAAGATGGTGGGTGGGACAGAGGAATCTAACCAGTTATATTTAATTAAAAAAAAAAAAACCACAAACAGGATGCAGACACATTAAAAAAGCAACACTGACCTAACAATGGAATGTGAACTGTAGTTGACTCAAATGGCGTCATTACCATTTCCCTTCCCTCCCTCTGAAGCCCAGCCATCCTTAAACAGACAGAGCTGTTTAACCAGCGTTCATTGCTAAACCACTCTTTGACTTTCTAAGTGCAATGCTTGGACAAGAGGAGATGGTTCTGCTTTGTCTACTGCTGCAGTCTGTTCTATGGTGAAGCACCAAGTTTGACATAGGTCAGAGAAGAAAACAAGTTAGAGTTTCGACGTAGTCCTCTTTATGTCTCCTAATAAACACTGGTTGCAAAGGGAGAATACCTGAACAGAGCCCAGAAAGCTGCCCAGGAGTCTCCATTTTCCATTGGGGAATGCCCATCTGTTTATACAAGTGGGGAGGAGTGAAAGGCATATTTCTCAGATGATGGCCAAATTTCCCTTAGCTAAAGACACGCACAAGGGCTGTCCTATGGCAGGAAATGTGGATTTTCCCATTTAGCATGTGACTATGCCTGCAAACACCATTTTCCTGTTAGGGTATCTGCTGCGACTATGGGTTGATTAATTACTGAACACTCCTCTCTAAATTTCTCCATCCCTCTACCTCAGGATCAACAAGACCAGATATGGCTGTTTTTGGGTACCACAAGCCTTTCAGCCTGTCAGTCCATCAATACCATAGAACTGCAAGAGTGGCGTCTAAGACCTTCATCAATTGCTTCCGCATTTCCTCAAGATGTTCAGAGTCTTGTTCCACAATCACAGTAATAATAATAGATGTCATTTACATAGTGCTTTAACGTCTGAAAAATGTTTCAGATGCATCACCTACTTTGACATTCATAATTTTCTGATGAAATAGAAGCTATTAGCACCATTTTACATATAAGAAAGCTAAGGTTGAACAATTTGCCCAGGATCACGCAACTAGTAAGTGTGTGAGGTAGGATTTGAACCCAAGTCTTCCAATCTCCAAGCCTAGCATTTTGTCCATTTATTTGGGTCCCAAGTCAGCATTTCTCAAATGGTCATCTCTCAGACTAGGGAATACACAAGTACCTCCCAACACATCTCATCATATAGACCCAGAGTCACGTACAAAGAGGTCTCTAGCAGGGGGAATCTCACAGATCCTTGTCTGAATACCCTCTTGAAAAGAGCAACACTCACCAGGAATCCGGATTTTGAACTTTCCACTTTGGCCAAAGCCGCTTTCAATGATTCCGCTCTCCCCCGATGACAGGCGGACCTTTAGCCCCACAAAGATCTGGATGTTAGTCTCCTTCTTGAACAAGGACCGACCAATCACACTATAATCGTCAATCACCTACAAAAGAAGACAAGGGCCACAATTAAAAGGCCAACCTGGAGCTCCTCTAGAACCACTACCCCCTCAGCAGCTGGGCCAGCCCTAGACTCTGGGTCTCTAGATGCCCTGTCTGTATTATACACTTGAAAAGGCCTGATTGCAGCAGCAGGTCCTCCCTCCATTAGGACTCATTGAAACCCCTCTTACACTTCGGGAGACAGACAAGTGCTATAGACAACAGTCTTCACCATCTGATGATGCGCCTCTGAAGGGAGTGAGACTGGTCATGGCTTGTCACCATTCATACCTGAAGCCTCCATAGCCTGGCAGGGCCTTCCAGAGCCTGGGCCTACCTAGCAGAGTCTCCTAGGGTCAACTCTGTGCCAGGATGAGAAACAGAATTGAACAGAAGTCAGTAACACAAAGACGCTTCATTGTATGAGACAGCTGGCCTTGAAGCCAGAAAGACATGAGTTCAAGTCCTGCCTCTGATAAATACTAGTTGTGTGACCTTGGGCATGTCACTTACTCAATGCTTTGACAGCTCTCTAAGACTAAAAATTACACAGAAGCTGCTAACCTGCACTGTAGAGGGAATTTCCTCACAAGGGAGTTCCCTATACCAATGAAATCACAACTCCGGACTCTATCCCTACACAAACACAAAATATCAAGCCCTGGTTAAAGATTTGGGGATCTTACTAGACAATAGAGTTTGCTGAATGAATAAACTAGTTTTTAAGTTAAGAGATAAATGGCTGAACAAGTTGTGGTATGTGATTGTGATGGAATACTACTGTGTTATAAGAAATGTTGAGCTCGATGATCTTAGAAAAACATGGAAAAGACTTGCACAAAATAATGAAGAGCGAAACGAGTAGAACCAAGAGAACATTGTATACAGTAACAACGATATTGTTTTAGGAACAACTTTGAGTGAATAAGTCATTTTGACTATCATAAATATCCAAATTAACTACAAAGGACATATGAAGGAAAAAGCTATCCATACTGAGAGAAAGATATGATAAATAAAAGTAGGTACAGAATAATTTTACATTTATATACATATTTGTATCTAATAGTAGTCATCTCTAGGGCGGGGGTGTAAAGGGAAGAAAAAAAGGAAAAAAAGGGAAAAATTTACATGATAACTTTAAAAAGAATAGCAAGTTGTAGATAATAGATCTACAGTCTCATGTGCAATCATTTTTTTAAAAATTATACTACATGATGGAAATGTTTGTTTTATCCCATAAATTAAAAAGATGGACATGAGACCACTTCAAAAGAAAAAATAATTAAGCACACATATATATGGTACATAGTAAGTGCTTAATAAATGGTTGCTGACATACATAAAAGGACAGAGTTCGTAAATTATATCCGTGTGTATGTATATGTATGCATGTCTGTCTACACATACCATGACTCCAATGTGCATTGTGTTAAACATTTCTGATCATGACTTTCACTGTTTACTTACTGTGAACCAGCACTTTTGTGGGGTTGGTATTTTTTTTCTTTTTAAAAATAACCCTCATAATTTACAGGCAGACAATACTACATTGTGGCAGCTATCCCACATCTATTGTCTGAAGGACTAAATGGGAACATTTTCAAACTCATAGGTCCCACTGAAAACCAAACCCAGCACACCTGGAATGAACCCCCCACGGAGATCCTTCTAACATCTATACAAAGGCCAAACTTCTTTCATTATTATTTGGAATCTAGAAAGGTCAAAAATCAGGAGCTTGTTTTTACCCAGTCCATTTCTCAGTAATTTAAATGAATCACTATCTCCTCCTCCCACTCTCTATTAGCACCAGAAAAGCCTACAAAAAATGCTGACAGAAGCATCTTCTCTCATCCCAATTCCCCAAAAGGAAAAAAATGAACTAGGGAGTGCAGTAGGCAAATGGACAGCCTCCTCTGGCTACAGCCGGGACTGGAAGATGGGCAGACCTGCCTTTACTCTGCTGTGCTGGGGATGGGATGAATCAACGGCAACACTGTGTTAACCCAAATAGTATAACTCACATCCTAATGTAAATGGCAGAAGGGACCTTGCTATTTAAAGAAACTCTTTCATGAATCCTTTCATAAAGAATTATTTTGTTAACAGACAATCACTTCCCAATTTATTTATTTTCTAAGTTTACATGTCTGTGGTTTTAAAAAAGCAGAGCAGAGGAAAATGAAGCACAGAAACTACGCCAATTTGTTACAAAGGGTTTTTCTTTTGTTTTGTTTTGTTTTCCAATAGTAATAGAGATGAGGAGAGAAAAAATAAAAAATACAAGTAATTTAAAAAATGCTCCATCCCCGTAATTTCAAATTCTATCCATTTTCCAAAATTCAGTTCATAAAATCATAGGATTCTGACCTGGAAAGGGCTTTCAAGGTGGTCTAGTACAACTCCCTTATTTTACATTTAGAAAAAATGAAGTCAAGAGAGAGAAGAGGCCTGGGCCAAAGTCACACAGCAGACCAATCTACTGCCATGCCAGGAAGGGCGCCCTGGGACCATGGCCTCCAAATCCTACTCTACTAGTGCTGCCCCGTAGTTTCTATTCTTTTCAGCAACAACAAAAACCACAACAAAGTGCTATGAACCCCCAGGTTAACTTAACATATTATGCTATTCTTTTAGATTTACTCATTAAGTGCTTACAAAAGAACCACAATGGGAATTTTGGACCCAAACAGCTCATGACAGTTTTGAATCGCTACAGAGACAAACCTACAATGTACATATTTGTTGTCACAGAAGAAGAAAAAAAAATATATACACACATATACACACACACACACACACATATACACATACACATTTGTAACATAGTTAGTTATTTACTCCTTAAGGTACCATTAAAGAATTTTTAGCTAGAACCCCCTAGACCATCATGGTGAATCCTCAAGGGTTTGAGAACTACTAAATGGAAACCACCCTTAACACCACCAGGAAACATTTCACCTTCTCCATGAAGTCTTCCTAGATCATTCCTGCCCAGTGATCTCTTCCTTTTGTGAATTCATAGCAGTTGTTGTCTATCATAGTCCCTGCACATAATAGGTACTCAAAAATGTTTAATTGGTGTACCATTCATCTGGCAGTTAATGATATACTTCCTCATGATAAGTTTTATACCGTCATCTTATCCTATTGCTTTTTCCCCTCAACTAGGGAGTAGATGTTTTGAAGGCAGGTCACTCCCCTGCTCAACAAGAGATGCCCACTCTACATGCCAGGCTCTAGAAGCCAGGCCAAGCCTCTCACTCTATCTGCCAAGATCCAAAGAAAAAAGTGAAGAGGACCCTGCCCACAAGTGCCTTGTGTCCTCTCAGGGAAACCTCATGGACACCAAGGAGTAAATAAAACTGTAAAAGGCAAATTACACTTTGAGGAGAGGGGCTGCTAGGAGGATCAGGAAAGGCTCTCTGGAGGTAGCAGCCTTGGGCTGAGTTTGTAAAGAAATTTGGGATTCTAAGAGAGAGAAGGGAGCAGGCAGGACAAGAGCCCGGGCCAAGACGTGAAGAGGGAGGAATAAGAAGGTAGCCATTTGAGCGAAGGAACAGAAGTCTGGAAAAGGAAGCTCCCCCAGGACTGAGAACGGCTTCCAACGACGCCAGAGATTTGTTTTGGATTTGAAAGGCAGATGGGAGCCTTTGTGGTTTATGGAGCAGGAGGGTGACGCAACCAGGCACACATTTTAGGGAAATCACTTTGGTGCAAATGATGGACTTGAGGCAGGGAGACCAATCAGGAGACAATTACGATAGTGCCAAGCACAGCCTGAACTCTGGAAGGGGGGTGGGGTGGGGGGTCTTGTCCCGTGTAGGAAAAAATACAAACACTTCCGTTTAGCATTTCCAGCCCTTCACCGTCTCACTCCAATCTCTCTCTCTCTGGGTTGATTACTTGCTGTTGGCTCCCCGTCTGTTCTGTGTGGCATCTGCCCCTTCCTCCCTTCTCAGTCTTCTGACACCTTACTCCCCAACACATACTCTTTGATCCAGTGACACTGGCCCCCTGGCTGGTCCATGAAAAGACCCTCCATCTCTCTGCTCAGGGCATTTTCTCTGGCTGTCCCTCTGCCTAGAAATCTCTCCCTTCTCATTTCAGTCTATAGACCTCCCTGGCTTCCTTTAAGTCTTGACTAAAATCCCACCTTCTACAGAGAGCCTTCCCCCGACCCCTGTTAATTCCAGTACCTTCCCTCCATCAATTATTTCCTACTTATCCTGTATATAGTTTGGTTTGTATATATTTGTTTGCGTGGTGTTTTCCCTTATTAGACTGTAAGCTCCCTGAGGGCTTGGGACTGTCTTTTGCCTCTTTTTGTACCCCCAGTGCATAGCACGTTGCCTGGCACCTAGCAGGCACTTAACAAATGTTTACCGATCAACTGATTTTTCTCCCTCTTGGAATTACTAGTTCAATTCAAGACTCATCTTCTATAAGAAATTTTTTCTTGATTCTCCCCAGTTACTAGTACCTACCCAATGATTACTTTTCATCTATTTTTTTAAATTAAAATTTCACAAAAATCCACTTTCTCTTCCTCTCACCTCCTTCCCCCACCCTCAACTTTTGAGAGAAAAAACAAAACCCCTGTTGCAAACATATCCGGTAAAGCAAATCAATTTCCAACACTGGCTATGTCCAAAAAAAGTCTCCATCTGCATGCTGAGTCTATCATCTCTCTATCAGGAGGTGAGTAGTATGTTTATGATGAGTCTTCCAGAATTGTGGCTGATCATTGTGTTGTTCAGAGTTCCTAAATCTTTCAGAGTTGTTTGTCTTTATGATATTATTATTGCATAATTTTTTCACCTAGTTCTGCTCACTTCACTTTGCATCAGTTCACATGTCTTCCCAGGTTTCTCTGAAATCATCCCCTTCACCATGTCTTACAGCACAATATTATTCCATCATACACACACATACACACACACACCAACTTGTTCAGCCATTCCCCAATTGCTGGGTACCCCATCTAGTTTGCATATAT